AGTTCTACTATGCAACTATGGTGTCTAGGAAGTGGGCTTGTTCCTTAGGTCACTGGATGTATGCCTTCAGAAGGTAAATCTGGGGAGATGGTTGTTATAATAAAAACCCAAGTCTGGGCCTAGCCGCTCTCCACTTCCTGACTTACCACATGATCCTTCTGTACATACTGTCATTGCTGTGCACCACTCCCCAGCAGAGGCTGAACAAATGTGGCTGCCCAGCACGATGGACTTGTGAAAGGTCATGAAAGACACCCACTGTAAGACTGGAGCAGAGATTGGTGGGGAGAGGAGGGAAGTTGTGGGAGGGGGAAGGGAGACACCAGTGTAAACTGTGTCATAAAACAAAAGAAAAAAAATGTGGCTACCCAATTTCAACTTGAACCTCCACAACTGTGAGTTAAAGACACTATGCTCTTTTTAAAGTTAGTTGCCTCAGGTGTTTAATTGTAGTAATTAAAAATTGAGAGCCCCATAGGCTTGGAACATTACCATGATCATAAGCATACAATTATCACTGGACTGGGAGCCACATAGTGAAGAGCAGGACGACTTCCTTGCAAATCTGCCCTTCACCTCAGAGGCAGGGGTCACACACCTGCATTCTCACTGACCTGAAGGATGCTTCATGGAATGCTTGCTTTTTATGTATCTCTCTTCCTCTGCAGCTTGCACATGCCAGGTTAAGACACAGACGTTGTGCTTCCTGGGTGGGATAAACTATCCTGACCATGATGTGAGGGGCACTCTTTGGACTTGCTCTACAGCAGGATCTTGGACAGTACTCTCTCTGTGTTATTACTAATGGGGAAGAAAAGGACAAATTTTAATTAGTTGGGATAGGGAGCATTTCCCAGTGGGACTGGGTCCCTCATATTTTTCAAATAAAGGAATAAAATAAGTGGCTATTATCATTTGTGCCTAACACTCAACAGTCAGTGTAGGATTTGCTGAATGAAATTAGCACTAATTACTTACATTTACATATCGATTTTTAGTTTTCAAAGTATTACAATTTCAAGTTTAGTGGAAAGAACACTGGACTACCCACACATTCACCTTCTTTTCTTGACACATGGAATGACCTGTTTTGGGGAAAATTTTGCCTGGTTTTATTATTAAGAAAAAAAATTTTGAAAACCTTCAGGGACAGTTTCACTTCTCACCAAACATAAATCAGGAAGGGCTTTAAAAAATTTCCATGGTATCATCTCTGTTGCAGACATTGCTATGTATGTGTTTGATCTGACATCCGTTCCCCTGTATTGATGTGAGGGCTCCATCCTAGTTTCCCTCAGGGATGCCAGAAGCCCAAGCATTTGGGCCTTCCCAGGCACATTAGCAAGATACTGGATTAGAAGTAGAGTAGCTAGGACTTCAAATGGGATACTGGCATCATAAATAATGGCTTAACCCACTCTTCCCACAATGCCAACTCTGAGTGATTAGGTCTCTTCTACCCTCATGGAAACCTGGATTGAGTTCCTGGTTCCAAAAGGCCACTGTGTTCATTAGGGGAGTGAACCAGCAGGTGGTAACTCTGTCACTCTCCAATAAATAAAGACAAATAAAATAAAAAGTTTTTGGAAAAAATAGAATAAAACATAAACTTAGGCCGCAAAACTGGAATATATGCATATTAGGATTCTTTAACACATTCATGAAAAATAATGCATTATGAACATTATGAAAAAATTACAAATGAATGTGAACAATTTTTATCCCCCAAAAAACTTGTATTCTAACTTTATTTTTTTCCCAGGAATATTCTTACGTTCCCTTGTATCTCTTTGTCAAGCAAGAGCTTTCTCCTGAGCTGCAGGGAGATGGAAAATGTGTGATACTCACATCCTCTGGGCTGATCCTCAACCAACGACCAGTGGAGTTGGTGTACAAATATCCTAGCTTTCCCGGTGCTCCCTGCCATTTGGGATAACTTGGAACAATCATGTACAGTTAGGGGTTATGTTCCCACTGCCAGCTGTGATTTGTTAACACAAGGTTTGTTGTCTTCTCTGCCTCATCTGCTTCCTGGAACGACTTGCCATATAGATTACTAACATTCAAATCCTTCTTTCAGGGTCTGCTTCTGGGGAAACCCAAAGACTCCCCCAAAGCATCTTTCTCTAGAAGGGCACTGGACTAGTGCATAACATTCAAGCCATGAAGGCCCTTAACAAGGTTTGAAATCGCCTGCTAGTCCTTTGCTCCAACAGTTTTCCAGCCTAGTATTGTCCACTGCCTTCAGTGCTCTCCTGAGCAGGTCTGCTCCACTTGCCATCCTCACTCAGCTAGTGACAGTGTAAACATTTTAATTAAAAATAAAGAAGATAAGTGTGGATAATAGATTCACCCTTAATTCTGCATGGTATGAGAGAAAAAAGCCAGTCACTCTAGGCTTTCTACTATGAAATTAAAGAATGAGACATTAGGATGTTCATTTTCCTCCCTTATATACATTCTTTCTAAGATTCCTAGTGTTTGGGAAATGCTGATAATGCATATCTGGATGGAAACGATCAAGATTCATGTTTTTGTGTAGAACTCACATTTTTTCACTCGATTGTTAGGTATTTTCTAGGTTAAGCCTGGGGTAGCCTTTGACATGTTTCCAACAACATTCCTGCCAAGTTGCAATTGACTCTAGCTTTGAACATTGGCAGAGAGGGAGAACTCACCACTCCATTTATTTACTAACCTTATTCATTTCATACTTCTTCCTTTGACTGAATTCAAATTTCCCATCAGGGTTCTACCCAGTGGTAGGGATTTTCTTGTGAGAAATTCTTGATCCTCATACTCCAAGGGGAATTTGAGTTATTTGAAAACATAAGGTCTAACTGAAGTTTTCTCCCATCTAGAACAAACATTCTAGTTATTTCTGCTTAAGCAGGTTGTGTCCCTCTGCCAACTGTGTCAGGCTTTCACAGTCTCTTTTGGAGTGAGACACTCATTGGAAGCAACATACTTGTCCAACACTTGGGGATCAGAATGTTTAAATGATTTATAGCCATCGAAAATGCAATGTAGCTCTTAAAATCATGTTTTGAAAAATATATAATAATATGAAAAGGACACTACATATCAAGTAGGCAGGGATATGTTAAATATGCAAGAGTAGTCCAATATATACATAGAAAGGAATGCCCCAAACATTAAAGATAGTAGCAATATTATGACTGGTTTTGAATCTGTTTTAATTTTCTACAGGAAACATGTATTTATTTCTTTAATTTGGAAAAGTGTTTTTCAAAAAGAAATGAAGAACATGGCACTAATTGTATTCTGATGTTGGAGAGCCAAGAAGAGCCAATATCTCTTAATTTGGATGTTTCACTCTCAATTTCATCATACCTAGGGGAATTTTTTTTTCACCTTGTGTTAATTAGTCTCTCTCTCTCTCTTTTTTAAATCTGTTCACTGACATTGGAAGCAGCCTGACAAAAAACTCCAGGACCGGTGCAGAGGTCAGTCTCATCTGTGGCCTTGGTGGGGCTGGTCTGTGTGTGCAGGAAAGAGGCAGCGTAACATCAGCTTTCCAAAACGCTGAGCAGACAGCCCTCCAACACTTGAAATTCCTCCAAGTGTTAAGGTTGAGCAATTCCATTTTGGGAAAATGGGGAAAACCCTGTGAGAATGCTCCACAGGCTGATTTGTCCCAGAGGTGCAGCGGACCTCTGTGCATCTTGGGAAGGCACTTTGGGGCATCAGAGCCCTGAATGTTTTCCAACATCTGCTTCAGAGACAGAGCTCCACTTATGGGGGATGATGGAAACAGAGCAGACACTGGAAGAGCCAGCCAGGGCCAGGAGCGCCGAGCTGACTCTGCTCTTAAAAACCGATAGGTAGTTTTTCACTGTTTGTTCTACAGAAGTGGTTTATTGTCACTGAGGGTCTAGCTTCAGCTAATCATCTGTCCTTTCTTCCTGTACTGTGCCAATGATTCATTTAATTTTCAGTATTAAAAAATGCTCAGCTCAATTTGTACCCCTTGGGGTTTGTAAGATCTACGTAGTAAACCGTTTTTCTCACTGTTGGTAGACTTGATTGCTCATGTCCAGACCACTAAGCTCTAGCTTGCAAACCATCCTTTCAACCCTGTGCCCCTAATTATGAGTGTGTGTGACTACTAAGATAACACTTTTATAGACTGAGGTCTGGAGTTAATAGGAGTATAATTTTAAGCGAATATACCAGGGCTTGAGTACTGTGCTTGTTAGAGTTAGAATAAAGGGATCAATGATGTTTAAAAGCCTGTGGTTTTTATCAGGAACACAGCATGTGACGGTTCAGCAGCACGTGCTGTGATTCTTGACTAAAACTTCCTGCTGTCCAGGGCCACTAACTGGGATTCTCAGTGTTGTGGGGGAAAAAGTATGGAGTGGTCATAAGCAATGTTCTCACTCTCATGAAGCTTTGCCTGTAACATTTTTGCTGAAGTTTTTGTCTTTTTGCCTTCAGTTTTGTTAAGTGAGAACCCAAATGGCTCATTTCCTCCCCTAAGGATTGTTAGCGAGAGTTGCTTTAAGCCTTGCCAAGTCCCTTTCTTTTTTGTACCTTCCTCTACCTGTACCTTGGTAAGAGTACCTTGGTACTCTTATTTCCTAGACTTCAAGTTTTTATCTCTTCTTTTATCATACAGCCATTTAACAAGCCTGCTGCTAGGTCCCGGGCCTTGTTCATTTGATTTATTACTTCAACTGTGACTCTTAACCATTTGGGTTGTTCTAGTATTTGTATGTGTTTGTATATGTATGTTTGTGAATGTGTGGGTTCCTGCATGCATTGCTTGTGTTTCTGAATGAATCATCTCAATTACTGTGTAAATGTGTGTGCATATGTGCCTGAATGTGTTCTCGTGCATGCTGTGTGCATGTGTTCCTGTTGATGTGTCTGCATGCTTGCTCCTGTGCATTGTGCATGTGACTGTGTTCCCAGCAACCAGGGGCACCAAAACGCTTAACACACACTTCTCTCCACCAATGTCAGTTTGTACTTACATAGTTGGAGGCAAGGTCCGGGTGAAGGTAGTCAATCCCTGTGAAGAGACAACAAGACAAGAGCAAGGTTAGTCCTCCAGAAAGCTGTTCAAGAGGGTAGTGTCGCCGCAGGCAGGCCGGCCTGAGCTCTGCTCCCTAAGCCACCAGCTTAGGTTTCTCTTCCTGTGACAAGGTGGGCTGCTCTGCCCTAGTTTCTGTCCAGCTGCCCCCATTCTTCAGGGCAGCAAAGCTAATAGCACCTGGACCCTGGGATCACACTTCTGCCATGGATTTCAGCACTAAGGGGCTTAGTGACAGCAAGATGGATAGCTCCTCAAATAAGTGATCTAAGAGATTTGTAGAAATTCTGACATTTTAAAAGCATCAACTGGCATTTCCTCTGAAATGTAACTGGCCTTGGGGAGAAAAAGCAATTATTATTTCACAAGGCATGGGGTATCAATGGATTAGGAGAGCATAGTCAGGCATGGAAATAAAGAGGGGAATGCGGCTCAGGTGGAAAAGCTATTAGTCAGAGGGCAAATGGCTTCCCGCGTGGTGTTCCCAGTTGGGAGCTGATGTTTGCCTCTTTGAAAAGTGGCTTTCTAGGAAGCCTGAGGCCTGGGAGCTCTCGGGAGGAGCCCTGTGTTTCTCTTTTTGGGGGCTGTTTGGTTGCCAAGGAGTTGGTCCAGTGATTGAACCATGGTCTGTAAGCACTGCTGAACGCCCCCTCAGGCCCTAGGAGTTCACTAACCAACAAGGGATGCCAGGGCAAAGTCCTCATTTGGGTCTGTGAAAACACTTAGGAGGGATCTTCAAAAAGTCATGGCAAATGCAAATTATGAAAACACTATGCATGGATTTAAAAATTCTGGCACCCAAACAGACTTATTTTTTAATTCTACTTCCAATGAAGTTTTTAAAGTGCTCTTTAAATGTTGCAGGGCTTACACCTAAGCATCTGGCTCTGGGAGAAACAGGGCATACGGAAGGTTAAGTGTAGACTTTTGGTATCAACTATCACAATTGGAGTCCCAGCTAGCCAGTGATTGGCTGTGAGACTTCAAGTGGGTTGCTTGCCCTCTCTGTTTGTTTAGCAGGGCAAGAATTAACGAAGTGGGAGCAGTGGAGCTGGTGCACTTGGCAACTACATTGGGATGCCATACTTTAAAGCCAGGAGAATCATGAACTGACTCATAGCTGGCATCTGCACTGTGTGCTGCATAAAGTCGTGCCACTGTGATAGCCTTTTCCTGCAGAAAGGGACTTAGATGAGCGCACTTATAAGTTTGTGGAAAAACATAAAAAAAGCCTTTGAGACCCATGCAATGGTTTTTCATAGTACTAATTTTCTTGAAATTTTGCATATGAGTTCAAATTTGTTTGTAGCAAAACAAAGTTATTTTAAAATGTAATTAAAAGCAGATGTATCTTATTGATTGAAAAGCACAGTTACACATAGAGAAAGAGAGAGTGCAAGAGAGAGGTCTTGTGATCTGCTGATTCACTCCCCAAATAGCCACAATGGCTGGGCCAGGCTAGAGCAAAGCCAGGAGCCAGAACCAGGAGCCAAGAACTACTTCTGGTTCTCCCATGTAGATGCCAGGGCCCAGGAGCTTGGGTCATCCTCTGTTGCTTTCATAGGCACATTAACATGGAGCTGGATTGGAAGTAGAGTAGTCAGGACTTGAATCAGCACCAATATGGGATGCTGGTGCTTTAGGCAAGGGCTTTACTAGTAATGTCATATTGCTGAACCCTTAATTTCATCTTCTGTAACTTTTAAAATTACTCTTATATATGGATGAGTATTTCTTTTTACTTATTTGGGAGAGAACAGGAAGGAGGAAGGGGCAGGGAAGGAGAAAGAAAAGAGAGAGAACTCTTATCTCCTGATTCACTTCTCAAAACTTGCAGTGGCTAGGGTTGGGGTCAAGTGCTGAAGCTGGAAGCTGGAAACTCAGTCCAAGCCTACCATATGTATGGCAAGAGTTCAGTTACTTGAGCCATCACCTATTGCCTCCAGGAATATATATTGGCGTGAAGCTGGAGTTGGGAATTAGAGCTGGGAATCAAAATACTATATTCTAATGTAGGGCACGGACATACTAATTGTTTGACTAAACATCTGCTCCCTGCATTCATTTATTTTTTTTGTGGTTGTATAGATATTTTATGAATTGAGAGTCACTGAACTACAGCACACGTATTGGGTTTCACTGTGGATATCATGGCACGTGAAGTAGTGGTGGTCTTCATGGTTGCTATTTTTCCCTTAAGATTTGATTATTCTTATTGGAAAGGCAGATTAACAGAGAGAAGGAAATACAGAAAGATCTTCTGTCTGTTGGTTCATGCCCCAAGTGGTTGCAGTGGCTGGAGCCAAGCTGATTTGAATCCAGGGGCCAGGAGCTGCCTTTGGGTCTCCTTTGCAGGTACAGGGTCCCAAGGCTTTGAGACATCTTTTACTGCTCTCCCTGGCACAAACAGAGATCTGGTTGGAAAGTGGAGCAGCCAGGACATGAACTGGCACCAGTATGGGATCCTGGCGCATGTAGAACTTAGATACTGAGCCATCACCCTGGTTGCTTTCTCTAGCTTGGAGAGTATAACCAATCACTCCTCACTCACTATCATGCTTGCTGCTTCTTTTCCCTTCTTATGATCTGCAGTAGGAAATGGATCTCAAAATTTAATATTTTAACAATATTGACATTTATTTTCATTTTACATGAAAAGCAGAGAGATCTTTGATTTACTTATTTACTCCCGATAGCTGGGACTGGACTGAGACAAAGTCAGAGTCCAAAACCCAATCCAGGTCTCCCTAGTGGGTGGCAGGGTTCCAACCAGGCACTCTGATATGTGGCTATCCCAAGTGACAAAGGTTGCTGACCCTTGTTCTGATCACTAATTACAGTCACTAATTCCAAGTTCATCCAGTTAAGCTTTGATGGAGTTGGGGATGAGCATGAGCTATGAGACCAACAGATCCAGTTCCATTCTGGTCTCAGATGCTAGTGTTTATGTAGTTTTGGCCAAATAGCACAGTCTCTCTTATCTTTGACATGGGACTGCAATTTCCCTTGAAAAGCAGCTTTCAAGATTAGAGACAATCCATCAAAAGTGTTTGGCTGGTAGTAAAGACTTGGTATATTGGATTTCTTATCATCATTATTAGTATTACCAGTCACATCACTAAGGTAATATGGATAACACACAGGAACAAAAACATTAAAAATTTTACTTGGCTTTGAGATGTTGTGTGTACTTGCTGAAATTGGTTACATTTTGTAACCTCATTGTTTGGAAAAATGTTAATATATATATAGATCAGTCAAAATAAAGCACACAGAGAATATATTTTTTTCTAGTAGGAAGCCATTTTTGAAAACATGATGCTGTGTTCTTTTTATCAGTAGTTCTTACTGTTGCTTTTAAAAATATTTTGTTTTTTATGATACAAATATCATAGGCTCAGGGATTTTCCCTCTCACCCTCCCTCTTCTTTCAACCCCTAGAATCCCTTATATTATTACATTTCTTACTGCTGTTTTAAAAATTAATTTTTTGACAAAATCTTCCACTTGCAGCAAAACTAGTACACAAAAGTTTAAAAAATTTTAGTTCTTAAGTGTAAAAGGAAATGCTTAGTATTTGTCTTTCTATGTCTTGCTTATTTCACTCATCATGGTTTCTTCCATTTCCAACAATTTTGCTGGAAATGATACAATTTCATCCTTTTTACATTTGGTTAATATTCCACTCTGTGTGTGAGTGTATCAATATATCACATTTTCTCTATCCATTCTTGGGCTTGTGGACGTCTTGATTGATTTTGTATTTTGGCTCTGTGAACAGTGACGCTATAAACTTGCTGGAGAAATATCTCTTTGATACAGTGAGTTCATAATTTTTACTATATATCCACAATAGTAGGATTGCTGATCATATGGCAAGTCTGTTTCAAGTTTTTTTAAAGATATCTCCACACTGTTTTCTACAGTGGCTGCACTAATTTAGATTTCCACAGGGTATATGAGTTTCCCTTTCTCCTTATACTTTTCATTATCTGTTGTCCTTTTTATGATAGCTTTTCTGATAGGGAAGAAGTTATATCTCATTGTGGTTTTGATTAGAATTTCCCTGATGATGAGTGATATGAATTATTTTTTTCCCATTTATTTGCTCACATTTGTATCTCTTCTTTTGAGAACCGTCTATTTCATTCCTTTGCCCATGTCTTAGCTGCAATGGTTGTTTTTAGGTTATTGAGATTTTTGTGTTGCTGACATATTCTGGATACTAATCCTTTGTCAGATACGTAGCATGTAAATATTTTCTCCCATTCTTGTTGATATATCTTCATTCTGTTGATTGTTTTCTTTGCTATGCAGAAGTTTCCGAGTTTGATATAAACCTTTTCATCTTATTTTGCTTTTGTTACCTGCACTTTGTGGTTCTTATCCAAGGAGTCTTGAAGTATTTTCCCTACATTTTCTTTTAGAAATATCATAGTCTCAGGATTTAAATTTAGATCTTTGGTTCATTTTGAGTAGATTTTTATGAATGGTGTGAGGTAGGGAGCTAATTTTGTTCTTCTACAGATATCTGTCCAGAGATTTTATGTTCTGATAGAATTTGGCAGGAAAAAAATGTTTCAAGAAATGGTAGTCTTGGGGTGGTTATTTAGACCTCTGGTGGAGACAACAAGTGTCCCATTTGGAATGCTTTGGTTTGATTACTGCTTCTGGCTCTTGACTCTAACTTCACGCCACTGTAGACCCTGGGATGCAGTGGTGATGGCTCAAGTAATTAGGTTCCTTCACCTATGGGAGGTGCAAAATGAGTTCTCTACTACCAGTTTTGGATCTGGTCCCATCCTAGGCATTGCAAGCATTTATGGAGTGGACCAGAGGACAAGAACTCAATCTGTCTCATAGGTAGGTAGATTGATAAACAAAAACCAAAGCCACTTCTAATAAAAAGAAATTGTAGTCTCTACTGAAGGGAAAATATTAGAACAAGGAACTAATGTGAGACTAGAAGAAATTAGAAT